TTTTTACTGGGTTAATAAATCTGCATACTCCTTCTCTGCACTGCAAGCCTGTGACTGAAATTATCACATCCGCAAATGGTTATTTAAATTTAATATTACCAGAATTGTTTGACAATTTTTAAGACATATCAAAGCGCAAAATCTCATAACTAAGCTAAAAATGCATTAATTTTAATACGGAAAGCTTTTCTATATTATTTTTACTGGGTTAATAAATCTGCATACTCCTTCTCTGCACTGCAAGCCTGTGACTGAAATTATCACATCCGCAAATGGTTATTTAAATTTAAATATTAACCAGAAATTGTTTGACAATTTTTAAGACATATCAAAGCGCAAAAATCTCATAACTAAGCTAAAATGCATTAATTTTAATACGGAAAGCTTTTCTATATTATTTTTTACTGGGTTAATAAATCTGCATACTCCTTCTCTGCACTGCAAGCCTGTGACTGAAATTATCACATCCGCAAATGGCTATTTAAATTTAAATATTACCAGAAATTGTTTGACAATTTTTAAGACATATCAAGCGCAAAATCGCATAACTAAGCTAAAAATGCATTAATTTTAATACGGAAAGCTTTTCTATATTATTTTTACTGGGTTGATAAATCTGCATACTCCTTCTCTGCACCGCAAGCCTGTGACTGAAATTATCACATCCTCAAATGGTTATTTAATTTAATATTAAGCAGAAATTAGGACAATTTTTTCGACAAACCAAAGGTAAAAATCTCATAACTTAGCCAAAAATGCATTAAATTCAATTCGGAAAGCTTTCCTATGCTAGTTTTTATAAGGATAATCAATCTGCATACTCAATTTAAAATATAAAATTTTCGCCATTTTTGACAATTTTAGTGATGTAACCCCTTATCGTTTTTGCGAAAATTGAAAAAATTGCAAACAATTTTTTTTCAACCAGACATAACCAGATCGATTCGCCTCTTAATTCTGATCAAGAATATATATGATTTATAGGGTCAGAAATGACTCCTTCATGTTGTTTTAAGCTTCCGACTGAACAATAATACCCTCAAATTCAAATAAATACCACAATTTTATATGACAATTTTTAAGACATAACAAAGCGCAAAATCTCATAACTAAGCTAAAAATGCATTAATTTTAATACGGAAAGATTTTCTATATTATTTTTTACTGGGTTGATAAATCTGCATACTGCTTCTCTGTACCGCAAGCCTGTGACTGAAATTATCACATCCGCAAATGGTTATTTAAATTTAAATATTAAGCAGAAATTAGGACAATTTTTTCGACAAACCAAAAGGTAAAAATCTCATAACTTAGCCAAAAATGCATTAAATTCAATTCGGAAAGCTTTCCTATGCTAGTTTTTATAAGGATAATCAATCTGCATACTCAATTTAAAATATAAAATTTTCGCCATTTTTGACAATTTTAGTGATGTAACCCCTTATCGTTTTTGCGAAAAATTGAAAAATTGCAAACAATTTTTTTTCAACCAGACATAACCAGATCGATTCGCCTCTTAATTCTGATCAAGAATATATATGATTTATAGGGTCAGAAATGACTCCTTCATGTTGTTTTAGCTTCCGACTGAAACAATAATACCCTCAAATTCAAATAAATACCACAATTTTATATGACAATTTTTAAGACATATCAAAGCCTAAAAATTTCATAACTAAACTGAAAATGCATTAATTTTAATTCGGAAAGCTTTTCTATATTATTTTTTACTGGGTTAATAAATCTGCATACTCCTTCTCTGCACTGCAAGCCTGTGACTGAAATTATCACATCCGCAAATGGTTATTTAATTTAAATATTAACCAGAAATTGTTGACAATTTTAGACATATCAAAGCGCAAAAATCTCATAACTAGCTAAAATGCATTAATTTTAATACGGAAAGCTTTTCTATATTATTTTTTACTGGTTAATAAATCTGCATACTCCTTCTCTGCACTGCAAGCCTGTGACTGAAATTATCACATCCGCAAATGGTTATTTAAATTTAAATATTAACCAGAAATTGTTTGACAATTTTTAAGACATATCAAAGCGCAAAAATCTCATAACTAAGCTAAAATGCATTAATTTTAATACGGAAAGCTTTTCTATATTATTTTTTACTGGGTTATAAATCTGCATACTCCTTCTCTGCACTGCAAGCCTGTGACTGAAATTATCACATCCGCAAATGGCTATTTAAATTTAAATATTAACCAGAATTGTTTGACAATTTTTAAGACATATCAAAGCGCAAAAATCGCATAACTAAGCTAAAATGCATTAATTTTAATACGGAAAGCTTTTCTATATTATTTTTTACTGGGTTGATAAATCTGCATACTCCTTCTCTGCACCGCAAGCCTGTGACTGAAATTATCACATCTCAAATGGTTATTTAATTTAAATATTAAGCAGAAATTAGGACAATTTTTTCGACAAACCAAAGGTAAAAATCTCATAACTTAGCCAAAAATGCATTAAATTCAATTCGGAAAGCTTTCCTATGCTAGTTTTTATAAGGATATCAATCTGCATACTCAATTTAAAATATAAAATTTTCGCCATTTTTGACAATTTTAGTGATGTAACCCTTATCGTTTTTGCGAAAAATTGAAAAAATTGCAAACAATTTTTTTTCAACCAGACATAACCAGATCGATTCGCCTCTTAATTCTGATCAAGAATATATATGATTTATAGGGTCAGAAATGACTCCTTCATGTTGTTTTAAGCTTCCGACTGAAACATAATACCCTCAAATTCAAATAAATACCACAATTTTATATGACAATTTTTAAGACATAACAAAGCGCAAAAATCTCATAACTAAGCTAAAAATGCATTAATTTTAATACGGAAAGATTTTCTATATTATTTTTTACTGGGTTGATAAATCTGCATACTGCTTCTCTGTACCGCAAGCCTGTGACTGAAATTATCACATCCGCAAATGGTTATTTAAATTTAAATATTAAGCAGAAATTAGGACAATTTTTTCGACAAACCAAAAGGTAAAAATCTCATAACTTAGCCAAAATTCATTAAATTCAATTCGGAAAGCTTTCCTATGCTAGTTTTTATTAGGATAATCAATCTGCATACTCAATTTAAAATATAAAATTTTCGCCATTTTTGACAATTTTAATGATGTAACCCCTTATCGTTTTTGCGAAAATTGAAAAAATTTCAAACATTTTTTTTCAACCAGACATAACCAGATCGATTCGCCTCTTAATTTTGATCAAGAATATATATGATTTATAGGGTCGGAAATGACTCCTTTATGTTGTTTTAAGCTTCCGACTGAAACTATAATACCCTCAAATTCAAATAAATACCACCTTTTATATGACAATTTTTAAGACATATCAATGCCTAAAAATCTCATAACTAAGCTAAAAATGCATTAATTTTAATACGGAAAGATTTTCTATATTATTTTTACTGGGTTGATAATCTGCATACTGCTTCTCTGCACTGCAAGCTCGTGACTGAAATTATCACATCCGCAAATGGTTATTTAAATTTAATATTAAGCAGAAATTAGGACAATTTTTTCGACAAACCAAACGGTAAAAATCTCATAACTAAGCTAAAATGCATTAATTTTAATTCGGAAAGCTTTTCTATATTATTTTGTACTGGGTTAATAAATCTGCATACTCCTTCTCTGCACCGCAAGCCTGTGACTGAAATTATCACATCCGCAAATGGTTATTTAAATTTAAATATTAAGCAGAAATTAGGACAATTTTTCGACAAACCAAACGGTAAAAATCTCATAACTAAGCTAAAAATGCATTAATTTTAATTCGGAAGCTTTTCTATATTATTTTGTACTGGGTTAATAAATCTGCATACTCCTTCTCTGCACCGCAAGCCTGTGACTGAAATATCACATCCGCAAATGGTTATTTAAATTTAAATATTAGCTAGAAATTAGGACAATTTTTCCGACAAACCAAAGGGTACAACTCTCATAACTTAGCCAAAAATGCATTAAATTCAATTCGGAAAGCTTTCCTATGCTAGTTTTTATTAGGATAATCAATCTGCATACTCAATTTAAAATATAAAATTTTCGCCATTTTTGACAATTTTAATGATGTAACCCCTTATCGTTTTTGCGAAAATTGAAAAAATTGCAAACAATTTTTTTTCAACCAGACATAACCAGATCGATTCGCCTCTTATTCTGATCAAGAATATATATGATTTATAGGGTCGGAAATGACTCCTTCATGTTGTTGTAAGCTTCCGACTGAAACTATAATACCCTTAATTCAAATAAATATCACCATTTTATATGACATTTTTAAGACATATCAAGCGCAAAATCTCATAACTAAGCTAAAAATGCATTAATTTTAATTCGGAAAGCTTTTCTATATTATTTTTTACTGGGTTGATAAATCTGCATACTCCTTCTCTGCACCGCAAGCCTGTGACTGAAATTATCACATCCGCAAATGGTTATTTAAATTTAATATTAAGCAGAAATTAGGACAATTTTTTCGACAAACCAAAAGGTAAAAATCTCATAACTTAGCCAAAAATGCATTAAATTCAATTCGGAAAGCTTTCCTATGCTAGTTTTTATTAGGATAATCAATCTGCATACTCAATTTAAAATATAAAATTTTCGCCATTTTTGACAATTTTAATGATGTAACCCTTATCGTTTTTGCGAAAAATTGGATAAATTTCAAAATTTTTTTCAACCAGACATAACCAGATCGATTCGCCTCTTAATTCTGATCAAGAATATATATGATATATAGGGTCGGAAATGACTCCTTCATGTTGTTTTAAGCTTCCGGCTGAAACTATAATACCCTCAAATTCAAATAAATACCACCATTTTATATGACAATTTTAAGACATATCAAAGCGCAAAATCTCATAACTTATCTAAAAATGCATTAATTTTAATTCGGAAAGATTTTCTATAGTTTATAACTTGAAATATTCCTATGAAAATTTGTGGGACTCACGTGACAGGATGAAGGCGCTGGCATCTTTGGCGGCTCCGACAATGGTGGGCACACTGTTGCTGGCGTTGGCGGCCAGGGCGGCCGGGTGACGGGGCAGGTATCCAAGGCGGTCGCCCACGACAAGCTTGAAGCCGCCGAGGGAGCTAAGACCACGCGGCTCGTTCTGCTCGAAGAGCTGCTCGAAGGCGGAGACCAGCTGCGAGGTGGGCAGTGTCGCCAGGCAGTCGTACAGCGGGGCATGGGTGCGGGCGGCGGGATTGGTTGGACAACGGGCGAGGCGGGCAAAGGTGTCCAGGGTCTCCAACGGGCGCTCATCGATCAGGTAGGGATTGAGGGCGGTGCCCGACTGCAGGATCAATTGCTGGAAGAGGTCTGAGGCCCGTCCGCTGAGGCTAAGAGCGTGGACCAATGTGGCTCCGCCCGCCTGTCCTGCCAGCGTAACCTGACCGGGATTGCCGCCAAAGTGAGCCAGATTGCGCTGCAGCCACTCGAGGGCCAATTGAAGATCGGAGAGAGCCACGTTACCAGGAAGCTCGTCGCTCAGAGCGCTCAGGAAGCCGAAGGGCGCCAGACGATAGTTGATCGAGACGAGGAGCACGTCCTTCTCCAGGACATAGTCCGGCTGGGCCTCTTCAGCGCCACCGTCGAACAGCATCTCGCCGTGCACGAAGACCAGCACCGGCAGGTCCTTGGCCCCCTCGGGTGCGTAGATGTTCAAGGTCAGGCAATCGTCCACGTTCTCGCCGCGGGACTCGGATTCCCTCAGGCGCTGCAACTCCGGAAACTGGGCACAGTTCGGGCTCTGCACGGTGGCGTCAATCCGTCCCGGAGGTTAGCAGGTTGAGCCGCCTGGAATCGTGCCAGACCGCTGCCCACTTGACCATACCGCACGCCCAAAAAGGCGTTCACAGGACGCCCGGCAATGGTCTTATAGTTGCGAACTCCCTCGATCTGTCCGATCCCGGGAATAGGCACCACGGCCGACTGGGGCTCTTGGGGTGCGTTGCGTGGTTCCGCCTGCCAAGGAGCTGGCTTCAGGGGCTCCGGCTGCCATGGCTTCACCTCCTCATCGTTGTAATCGTCGTCGTAGTCCGGTCTGGGGAGACCAAAGATTGGGGCCGCACAAAGGGCCAGCACAACAAGGAGCAGCGGCTGCATGTTGCTCACTGCGTCGCGTTCGAAAGGGAACTGATTTCGGAATCGGATTCGACGACCTGAAAAGCTTACAGCTTTATCTGTGGCCAGAGCAACAGTCAGCAGCAACAGCAGCAGCAGCAGCAGCCTTGGTGCGAGCTCACTGCGAGGTTGGCTTGAGGCGACACTGGAACTGAGGAGTAATCAGAATAATCACTCTGGAAGAGAGCCTAGACTTTGCGATATCAGAAAGATAAATTTTTCACAAAATGTATAGCATACTTATGAGGGTCTTCCCCATATGCCTTATATTTATTACGTCAAAACTTCTTTTGTTTTCCCTATAAACAGGACACAATATATATATAGGGATATCAAGGAAATAGTTTAACAAATTTATTAAAACCTATGATTGTTTAAATCTTAACACTAACCTTATTTACATTTCTAAATGTAAAATGATGTTTTAATGGATGCCTTAATCTGTGAGTCTACCCTCGTTGTCCCAGTCCAAGTCTCAGTTGGTGGTGTCATGACCGCGATTAATCTGCTATTTGTGCTTCCAGCTTTATTACTTGGCTAGCTTTGGCTGACCTTATCTCTTCCGGCCTTATCTGCTGGAACAGCTTCGATTTCTGGCTGGCTCGAGTCGGGTTTCAACATGGAGCTATGCAATGTTTTACATAGTCAGACTTAACAAATCTTATGCAACAATTCAAGAAAATAGCAAGAAATAAAGAAAAATTATATTGCTTATTAACTCAATAATTAATTTTCTCTACATACCTTTAAATTTGTACCTTTTCTTACCAACAAGAACATGATTACTGGAAGAGAAAATAAATATAGATGCCTTGACCCTGAAATTCAAGATTAAAACGCAATGAACAATTCATAATATAATAATCTCTATATTTTCATTTTTATTAATCATTTTTCGATTCCATTCCCTCCATTTCTGTTCTTGTTAAAGTTTCATTTTCATTTTCATTTTCTGGTTTTGTATCGGCTTGTTCAGTATGTATCTATAATAATGTGTTATAATTAAAAATCGTCATTTCATCTAAATATTTCTGTTATAATAATACAATATAATAATAATTAATAATATGCGGTTCTTTGTTTTTACTTTTATTCATTTTTTGTTATCGATTTCACTGTATGTTAAACGTGTGTGAGTGGGTTTTGAGTGTGTTGTATATTGGCTTGCTTCTGAATGTATTCTCCGGATCGATCCGTTTGGGAGTTAATTGTGTCTTGGACCGAGTTCGGATCTGGGGCCTCGCAGCAGCAATTCTTATCCGCTTGAGTTTGATTATTAATTCGTATCTGAGACCGACTCATCTATCTTCTCTTTATGACGCGCAGCTTACGTACAGTGCAGTACAGTACGGTACGTTCGAGTGTGGAAATCAGAGTTCTAGGAAAGCTAAAAGCAAGTGGTATGCATATATACTTGTGTCTATATACGTATATATGTATATGTTTATATATTCGTTCTAGGTATTTTAATCTCGATTATGCTGTGGCGCTGTGGCAGTGGCCGTCACTGTGGGCCAAAGAAAAGGAAGCCTCTTAAATTCAAATCCAAAATCTAAAAAAAAATCAGAAACCAAAAAGCGAAGAGTGTCTCATTACGTATGTAGTATGTTATGTATTTAGCAGCTTCCTTTGACTATGTACTATACATCCTCAAAGAATGCCAGAAAAAAGAAATGCAAAAGTCCTTGTTCCATCTTCTATTTAGATGCATAATTGAACATGGCTTAGTGGCACTGATTGAGCCATTTGATTGATTGATTGATACCGGGGTTGCCATCGCCTGCGGGAATATCGTTTTAGGAACTTCTCAAACTAATTAAGGACTCGTCAAAATCAAATGCGAATGAAACGAACTCCTTAGCTCCCGGTTCTGGCGTTCTCTAGTCAAAAATCGTTTACCAAAAAATGCACATTAATTATGTTCTTTCACTGAATCAAAAGTTCTTTCACTGATTTCTGATTTCAGTTTTTGCTTGTTTTGTTTTATATTTTTGTTTGTCTTTTTAGTTGTTTTTGTTTTCTTGTATATTTTGTAGCTCAGTCTTTTTACTAACAATTTGTTGTTGTTTTTGTTGTTGTTGTTGTTATTTAATTAGCTTCTTGATGCTGTAGATCTTATTTATTATTTCGCAGTGCTGATCTTGCACATTTGCCGCTTGAATACTTAAGTGTGTGTTTTTATTATTCGAACGAAATCGAAAAAATTACAACGAATTCCTGCTTGGAGAGAGGGTGGACTGTGTTTTGTTTTAATTTCTTTTTTTCTCAGTGTGTAGGTGTGTATGTGTGTGTGTTTGGGGGTTGAAATGAGTAGGAGAAAGTTCAATTCATTTAGTTTATAGTTCGCATCGATTAAAGTGGCTAGCTGTTAGCTCTATAGTTGCTTGGAAGTACCGTTGTTCTTTTGTTTTTTGTTTGTGTCTAACTTTCGTAACTTATTTGATTAAATATTTTGTTATTCACTTTGTTTTTTTTTGTTTTCTTTTTTGGGGGCTTTCATTACATTTTGTGTTACTCATTACGATCTTGCGCTACATTTGTCAACAATTTAAATTTATCCTTACGTATTTGTAACCGCTAAAGAATGGATAACATACTCGTGTCATATGGCTCCTATATGCTTTGATAACTCCTAATCGATAAGCACATCTTCTGGATTGTTTGGATTCTCTGTTTGTGTGTATTTCTTTTTTTTTGGGAGAGTGGAACCAAGCGGTGAATGGTAATCGTTTTTTGGTAATCGAGTTATGGATCATTATGTTTTTTGCTTTAATGAAGGAATATTTTATTTGGTTTTGGTGAAGTATTTACAGAGTTTCGCATAATAGTATTCATATAGGTAATGCATACGTTAGGCTGGTTTGTTTGTTGCGTTATAAAATCTTAACATAATTATTATAATTTGAATTCGCGAACTCGCATAACTCTGCCTCGGGAAAGTAAAAATGCATCGATTACGTGTCAGTGTGTTTTCGTAATTATACTATGTTGCATAGAGAGAGTGAGATAGAGAGCTGTCTACTTAGAAATAATAAAACCAAACGGAACCGGAAATAGTTGTTACGTTACGTGACGTGACATTACGTGACGTTACGTTACGTTACGCTTAGCCTATATCCGCTCAGTGTTCTGATTTCAGTTGTATCTGTAATAGTTCGCTCGTTTTCCCAAAAAACAATAATAATAATACAGTTAATAAGAGTCAAGTTAATCGTAAATGCCTTAGCCTAATTAGTAGGTATTCTTTTTTTATAATGTAATGCCTGCTCGTAATAATATCTATCCTTTAATCATTCATATATTTTTGTTTTTGTTTTTCGGTTTCATATATATTAATATTTAGTTTTATTTTATGTAAGAAGCACTTGAATATATATCGTTCTTAATGGAAAAAATGAAAACTTGAGTGTGTGTCATGTCAAGGGTTCATTTCCTTCGTTCCTAATGATTTTTATTTTTTAATATTTCGTTTTCTTATTTCGGGTTCCTGCTTTCTGCTCTAATTCCTTAAATGTTGCTTGTTCTTTTTATATATATTTTAATAAGTTGCTAATTAGCAAATATGAATGCGCCGGCTACAATCTGTAGGTAATAATTGTTTTTTTTTTTTTTTTTTGTCTTATTCGGAGAAAGTTAAAAATCGTTTTCAATTAGCTTATAATTATCTTTAAAGTATGTTCAATCTCAACCCCAGATTCCTGCTCTTCTTAAAAAGTTGCAGAATGGGTTTATCTTGTTTACCAAAAAGTGTAACTTTTCCGGAAAGTGTTTTAGAAATTTATAGATTTTTTTGTTTGCATTTGTTTTTCGACTCTGCCATTTCTTTGTTGGGTGTTTTTAATAAAATACTTTGCTTAATTCTTTTGTTTAATATTTTTTTGTTGATTTTTTCCCTTTTTTGTTTTCATTCAATTTAAAAGCATTTCTAGAGAATCTCTCGTCTAAAGTACCTAATAAGTGTATGGGTCATCTATATATTTATGTATAAGTATATATATATATATATATTCGTGGATTCTTTGCTGTTTTTGCTGCTGGTTTATGTCAGTGTAAAACCGTTCAATTGTAGCCTGGGCCTCGTATTACAATTACAATTACAATGTTCGACTGCTCGCCTTGTATATATGTATATTAAATAATCGGTAATCGGCATTCAGTTTTGCTTGTTGCTGTTTGTTTTGTATATATATATATATGTAAATGGTAAAGTGTATAAAAGTTAATGATCTGATTCAGTAATACTTGTATGAAATTGTATGATTAGTTGATGTAGATCTAGAATTAGTTCAAACTTCTATGTTGTATCGATCTGCAGCTACTCTAAGTGTCTGACTCTTATTTTGTTACTTTTTTGTTGTTGCTTACGAGTTATATGTTTACGTGTTTTGTATTGCTTTCAAAGTACCTAAAACACTTTTCTAAAAGAATACCGATAAAAAACAAGTAGATTTAAAAACTAAATAAATCGAAAGAAAATTATCTTTAAATGCTTAAGGGCAGTACGCTTTCATTTATAGTTCAAATTAAATAAGAAATATGTACAAATAAAACTAATCAAAACACAGTATAAATAATTCATAAATATTTATATATCTTTGGCCGGTCTATAAATTATATAGAAATCTTGCTTTCTTGCATTCCTAATAATGGCTTTTCGTTTTCTCATTCTGCGGTTGGTTTTGTTTTCTTCGATTGTATACATTTTGTAAAAAAGTAAAATTGCATATAAAAGCATTAAATTGCAGCTGCATTAAGTATGTATAATACGTATGCAAGTGTTTCAGTGTCCTTGTATTTATTTACTATTTTTAAACGCTACTGTTATGCCTTTACTGTTTACACATTTGCTTTGATTTAGATATTTCTACGCTTTCTTTAATCGTCTTGCAACGCAATTTCCAAGATTGATCAGATGATGACTGAATGGTTCTCATACAAAATATTGAATATCAGCTTAGCTTAGTCTACCTTCTAACATAACTCTATTACGAGAACAACATTAGCAATGCCCCTAGTGAAAATATTTTCAAAAGTTCTCTGCGCTCTGACCCGGATTCTATTATACAAAATCTATGTGGCTAGGCTAATGTTTAGTTTAATGCTTTCACTAAATTTTGATCGATCACGTCACATGAAATTTGTGTGTCCTTCCTAATTATATATTCGTATTCGTATATATACATGGATAGCGAGTTCATTTCTCAATGCAAACAATAGTAAAAACTAACTAAAAATGGGTGTGGGTCCAGTGTTTGGACACCAAACACCCGATTATGGCACATATCGCACATACTGATTTCTGTACAGATCGGTTGAATATATAATGCGTATATAGTCCTGTACATAATTTACACTTTCCTACATGAGACTGAAGCTGAAAGATCCATGAAGAGTAGAGTAGCAGTGTGGGGGACTCAGCAAACGAAAATTGACAACGGAAAACCCTACTTAGTTACTCGATCTCTGACGGCTTACGACTAATTTGTTTGCCTTCCTCATACACACTATTTTGGTAGTTTAATTTCTTTCGTTTTTGTCTGGTGTAAATCAGTAATAAGCGTTTCGTTTTTTTTTTGTTTTTCTCTTATCTTGCCATGTAAATTTCTTCTATTTTTCCTCTTCTCTCAGGGTTAAATGCAAAAAATCTTGTATATCGCGTACACTCTACTCGAATAAGGTTTTGCTTAGCCTACGTCCTCTGTATGTTTAATATTTACAAGTGTTGACTCTGCTCAAATTGGTAATTAACAATATCATTTGCAGCTCTAATTTAGCGTAGCCTTTGTTACTTTTTTTACTTTTTTTAACCGTGTCTATATATATGTATATATAATCATGTTTGTATATAAAGAGTCATATAGACGTACGTTATATGTTATATGCTTTTGTATACTTAGCAGATCTGGGTATATGTATAAAGGCTATATAATTATAAAGTTCGTGTATAACTTCTCTCTGGCTTTCTGGTTTTTCCCTTTTTTTGTGTGTGTAAGTAAATCCCCATGCAGCTTCCATAGCAAGCATTTCCGTTTGATTGCAACTTTTGGTTAAATGAAGGGAGCGAGGATGGTTGAGGATAAGGGGTATTATAATCATAGCCCCAGTCATAAGTCACAGTGTAAGTTGCATTGCATTGCATCGATTGAGTCTTGTGTACTATTTAAGGTGGTATTATATTAAGCAAAAGAAATATTAATTTCAGTTTTCTATGTAATTAATTTAAATACCACCTTAAAACAAACCATGTTTCTTCTTTTCATATAAGCACTTGAGCTATATTCCGGAATCGTTGTTCCTGATCCCTAGCTTTTAAATCGAAATCGCTCTTACTACCTTCTTAATTTAAGAATACCTTCTCCGATTAAAAGTGCTTATATCTTCGACTTGCCTGCTAGTACATCTCATTCTCATCCCAATCGACGGACTGCAGCACCAGCTTGTCCAGTTCCTTGGAGTCACCGGAACTGCTATTTCTCCTTCGCCGTCGCCATTTCCGGTTGAGCTGTGTGGCCATTTGTGGGGCGGCAAACATGGCCGCCGCTGCTGCACTTAGCTTTGTGGGCGTTATGGCAGTGCTAGAGGTTGTGGGCGTGGCACCACCGCCAGCAGGACTCATGCTGAACAGCTCTCGGTTGCCGAAGCGAAATCGACGAGGCGGTGGCACTGGTGGCGAGGCAAGCAGATGGGGCGTGTCATAGGGCGGCGGCGGTGTGATCATGGCCAGCGATGCGGTGTCCTCCATATCCTCATCATCGAAGTCCGAGTGGGCGTGGGCATCGGAGTGAGCATGGCGTTCGTACAGTTCGTAGGATGGTGTCTCCTCCAGCGGCGATTGCGGCTGAACGGGTGTCACCGGCATGGACTTGGCCTTGGCAAATGTCCTGCCGCCCATTGGACTCTTGGCGAAATGCTGCTGCTGATGCTGGAGTTGCTGCTGCTGCAGCTGCTGTTGCTGGTGCTGGACTGGAAGCGGAATCGGGAGCGGTAGTGGGTGCTGCTTGGGCTGGGCCTGGATGAGTGGCATCGATTTGGTGTTGCATATCAATCAATCACGGTAGATGTAGCTGCAGTTCTTGGGGCTCTCCTGCGGACTGGGGCTGCTGGATGGCGGTGCCGGACTGCTGCTGCTGTTGGACATTACGGGCGAGGAGCCGGAACTGGAGTGCGACGGCTGGGGCTGTTGCTGCTGCGACTGCTGCTGCTGTTGCTGCTGCTGGGGGCTATTGGAGCGGTGTTGAGTTACTGCAAAAGCACAAAGACACAGGGATTAGCAGCGGGTTCGAAGAGAGAGAGAGAGTTCCATGGGGCATGGGGCATGGGTGCTTGGGTGCATGTTGCATCGGGGTCTGGAGACAAGGTAACACACTGAGAGGCTAGGGATGCATATGCACAACACCGAGGAGTCTGCTGCAACATGCACATAAACACTCACACAGCAACTACTCTTACACGTATCAAGTATCAACTTAAATATATCAAATATGAAATCAAACAAGAGCACATGAAAATAATATTGTGATTTTACTTTTTACGTAAAGTTTAAGGTAAAGTTAAGGTTTAAGAATGCAATTTTGAAGGGATACCCCACCAGAGGGGGTAATGTCCAACCCATTATTCGGGTTTCGAACCACAGAGATCGATCAGAGACAGAGATAGAGGGAGAGAGTGGAAAGAGAGAGAGGAAGTAGAAAGGGATCAGGAGGTAGAACCGCCGACAGAGCTTGTGGGTGATGTTTTGTGTATTCTGTGTCCTGTGGGTCTCTCTGGTTGGCCAGTTATATGGCATATAACTCTATATAACTTAACACAAGGATTATCACTTACCAATGCCATGACGGGGCGGCTGTCTTCTTGCGCGACCAAGACTTCTGTTACGTGTGTTTGTGTTGTTTACAGCCTATATATAGGGGGTTGGAGTGTTTATCAATTTCTCAGCTTTTACATACGATATTATCAAGATTCAAGTTTCGTTAGAGTTACGTAAAAATGTTGAGGAAACCAACCAAACAACACAAGAAGAAAGTATAACGCTAATTTGCTTCAAAAATTACACGTTCGCAGTCAATCTTTTGCTCTCAAGCCAAGGCCAATTTGTTGTGTGGTGTGTCTGCGGTTCTAGCAACCCAAATAATAATTAATAATTGATGTTAAATTAATATTAATCTAAGATTTTTAGTTTTTAGTTTACTTTCTCAGCTGGCAATACAGTTTCCTCCAATTGGTATTCATTTTAAATTTCGGCAAGCAAACAGAAAATGTCGAGTGTGTGTGCTTAGCATAATCCATTAAATAAATAAAAAATCTTAACAATTACAGGGTATTTAAGTATGGGTTATAGTTTAATTATTGCAGGTTACTTATAGTATGTGTGACTGGGTAATGTGTTATATTTGTATTCTAAGACACACACACACACATCCTGGAAAGGACTTGATTAATTTGTGGAATTTGGCGCCCATGCAGGAGGAGAGATCAAGAGTGTGAATCGGAATCTCAGGTCTCAGAACTCGGGTCTCAAGGATCAGGGAATGAAAGAGGCTGAAGGACACGCTGGCGAGCAGGCGAGCTGGGCGCGGGATGGCTGACTGGGCTGGACTGATCGATTGATCGATTAACCGATTGTTGCAACGATATATTCTTTTATTTTCGCATTCGATAATGTGTCATGTGGCAAATCAAAATGTGAGTGAAGAGAGAAAGATAGTTATAGAGAGAGAGAGAGAAAAAGGAACAAAGCTTCTGCAACAGTGCCTAAAAAAGGATCTATCGATAAATTGAAAACTAAACTTTGCAACGGTGCTCCAAAATGTTTTCAAAAATATTGTTAACAAACAGCAAAAACCGTGAAGATTTCTTTTGAAAATTACTTTTTGCCTAGAGAATTTCGGTAGAGCTCGTTGCGAAGAGAGCTTCCATATTGCAGCTTTTGAGCAAAATTCCAAATTTTCCAGATTAATATTATTCAGCAAAACGAAGCCCCACAAAAAAATAACCAATAAGCAAAAGAGGGATAGTCAAGAAATAATAATAAATAAACAGAAAAATCAACTTAAAAATAAACTCAAGTCAGCTTTAGTTATAAATAAGTATTTACCATATTTTGGGTAATTAGTCCCTGACTGGTTTCAGCCGCCCCACTCCCGTCTCAAAGGTAAACCTAATGAAAAAAGGGGAAGAAGAAGAGAGAAAAGATAGAGATAGATTTTTTGGTTTTTTTTCGTTTTTTTTTTTTGTCTTTTGAGTTTGTTTTTCGAGTTTTGTAAGAGGCTGTTAGTATCGTTGGGAAAGTGTCTCTCTGGACTGAAGAAGTAGATGTGAAATGATCTATACAAAATGCTTAAACAGAGATGAAATGGTACAAAAACCCGGGACTCGATTCGAACGATTGGTGTATTTCCAGCTTGAACGCAGAACCCAAATGCCAAAGAATATAAAAGCGAAATAATGAAGGGATCGAGATGAAGATGATAAGATCTTAGCATGCGCCTAAATGGAGATGAGGTCGATGAGTTTTTATTATGGGTTTGATAGCAGAAGAACAGGAGAATTTATTATATATCCTACATTTTATAGTAATATGCAAATCATTTAAAGTAGAAAAATATAAAATTAAGGTTAATTTTCCCAGGAACTAAGGATAAAGTTTATATAAACTAATAGTTGATGTATAATAATAATGAAAAATAGTATTCTAACTTGTTTCTTGCAATATAATTATGTACACTATTCTCTAAGGTGAGCGGTTATTAAGTCTTAGTTTTAATACCAGTATTATAAGTAATACCAGTATTATAAGTTTAGTCAGAAGTTTAAAACAATATGAAGGAGTCATTTCCGACCCTATAAATCATATATATTCTTGATCAGCATTAAGAGGCGAATCGATCTAGCTACGTCTGGTTAAAAAAAATATATTTTTTTAATTTTTCAATTTTTCGCAAAAACGATAAGGGGTTACATCATTAAAATTGCCAAAAATTGGCAAAAATGGCGAAAATGTTATATTTTAAATTGAGTAGATTTATTAACCTATCAAAAACTACATCGAACCGTTTTCTAAATTGAGTTTAATGATTTTTGGCTTAGTTATGAGGTTTTCAAACTTTATTTTTCACAAAAATGCATAATAAATATATATGAATAAATATCTATTAAGGGTAGATAAACTTTGGCTTCTCTAAGTTAGTTTTCTTAAAAAACACGTTTTACCAGCACCTAAAGATTTTAATAATAGTTTCTATATTAATAGTATTGATAGAAAATATGATAACATATAAAATATTATATAGGACTTGAAAAAGTAATATGTTTTGGAGAAACTTTAAATGAATGATAGGTCACAAAACATAAGCATGCAAATAAAAATAATAATAGTAGGCAACACACAACAATACAAACTACAACGACATATAAACAATATTTGTGGGCATGAAGATGATGTACTATAATTATGCAATTTTGTGCTATAAAATACATATAATTTATACTTTAAACCCACTCTTGGGTGGAACTTTTACACACACACTTAGAGGAGACATGGAAAACAAGCTGAAGGAGGTGAGACTAGAAATACACCAATCGACGATTGTGTGAGGAGAGAGAGAGAGATAGTTCAATACATTTCAAATACAAGCGCAGCACAAGGACTCTCGATAACTATGTACTTAGTGTCAGAAAATATCGAACAACATCGAAAAGAGCGCAATGATTAAGATTAGAGATTAGTAGTAGTAGTAGTAATAGTATTTGGATACGATAGTTGGAAATGAAAATAGATCCGTCTGATCTCCATCCAGATCGGTGGAGAGGCCAGGCTCAACTCACCTTCTTGACGCTGCGGGTGGTGGAAAAGCCATCGCCGCGCCTATAGTTGTCGCCCTGCAAAAGGAAACATACATTATAGTATAAGAAAAAGGATATCCTGCAGCCTGCATCCTGCCTAGCATCGATACTCACCATCACCTGGTGTGAGCGCAGGGTACCAAAGTTATCGCGTCCGCGATATGATTGCTGGGTATTGTAGCCATCGGGCTGGAACTGGAAGAGTGTTTCCGAGTTGGGGCCTTGATGCATCTGGTGCATGGGTGGCTTCCTTAGTGTATTCTTTGGCGAGTGCATCTTATTTGGTGGCGGTGGCTGAGGTAGCAGCACTGGCTCCGCATACGTCACCTCCTCCACCTGGGGCAGCAGCTTGGGCTCCTGCTGGATGCGGCATGATGAGGGGAAGCTGTAACAGAGAGAGTATTGTTTAATCAAACTCATACGCATTGGATAAGTATAACAAACCTATTGACATTTGTCGCTGCTCAAAGTACTCATATTCCGTATCCGGATATGGCAGATTGTCATCCTCGTCCTTGTGGCAGCGTCTTCCACAGAAGTAGCCCGTGAAGAAACCAACGAGCAGGGAGAAGATCGAACCCGCTAGCACGGCCATCACCAGGGTCTCCACTGTGTACTGGGCATTGATTATATCTGCGGAAATTTGGGGTCCTTCAATTAGTAAATTATTGGTTTTATGTGGTCATGGATATTGGTTCGTTTTGCATCGATACAGTAGTGTGCATTAGGCAAAACATTCAACAACAACAACAAACAGTTTAATGCACACCAAAAATATGGTTTGTTGTGTTGGGTATTCAGTGTGGGATTGGTTTTTATATGGAGGTTGTTCCATTATTGCAACGACATCAAGAAAACATCCAAACATCGAATTTAGAACGCACGTAAGCGTTCAAAATCATAAAGAAAGAAAGATAAGAAAAATATGAATAATAGTTAGTACAAAGGTACAACAGCAAGTACAGGTAACATATAATTATTCATATAAATAAACAAATATTTATTGAAATATTAGACTTAGTTTTAAAGGGTTCAATGAGATAACAAAGGATATCTTTTAGGGGGTAAGGTAAAGGCAGTTCTACATTATACAAAAAGCTACTTGATTAAACACAAAATTGCATCAAATAAGAAGTATTTTCGTTTAAAATAAAGTGCCAGCAGCCAGCAGTTATAATGGTAGATGAATGGCATAAAGTGGCAATAACCCGACAGCCAGGAGCTCTGGGAATCCGCGCAAAATGAAAATGTGATTGGCGATGAAACAACAGGTAACACGGGACTCCTTGCAGGAGCAGGAACCCGGCAAAAGGTTGGTAGGAAGGAAGAGGGAGTAAATTGACAAGCAATACGTGCATAAGACAAAAGAAAGGAACGAGTGCAACGAAAATATGATATAAATATAGTATGCAAGTGGCAAGCGCTTGGGTACATTACCATCGAAGTTCTTATCAATGTTGTCGATGATTTCCTGATCCTTGCTCTGGCGCCGTGAGTCCAACAAATCCATGTCGTTCCGGAAGCCCTTCTGCTCCCCGGCATTGGCATCCTTTGAATTTATTTTGCCTGTGCGAAAGCAAATCGGAGTTAGTACCAGAGTGTTCCATGAAATGCTCGTCGGCCACTTCCAACGTTCACTCACCTGAGGGACAGGCTGCATGCTGGCCGGTGGCCACATTCTGGTAGAAATAGTTCTCCTCCAGCCACCGTGGAGCGCCATGGGAGCGGCACTTGCCAGCAATTTTGTCCCAGGCGCAGTATGGATCCTGCAATGCGACGCATTCGCTGTGAGGGGGAAAAAAAACGGGTGAATAAATAACATAAATGCAGATAGAAAAAGGAAAAGTGAGATGGAAAATTGAGCTGGAGTTTGCATGAAGTTTTATTGGCAAATAAAAAATGGAAAGTGATTTTTGGGGTCATATTAGATATAATTTTCAATATATTCTCATTGTAAAATGTTTAAATTTAATATAAATATTAGAATTGCATTACATACTTTCTTGGTCTTGATATACCACTAAGAAAATCTTAAAAAGTGTATTATAATGACTTTTAATTATATTTTTATATGACCCTTATTAAAAGTTAAAAACTTCATAACTAAGCCAAAAATAATTTACAAGCTCCTGACTAATATTAAAATACCCTGCAAGGTTTAATAATCTTATTAATGCCAATATTTATCCAGTGTAATAAAAGCCAAAATGAAAAGTGGATAGAGCGAAAAGCTCCACGAATATATGGCATATTGAGGCAGTCAAGTGGCAGACAGGCGACACGCAAATTGTTACATGATAATAAAAATGCCATTGTCTGGAGTATGTAGCGAGGTCGAAATGGGTTGTAAGGGCGGATGAGGATGAGGATGAGGAAGGGCTGAGTCCGGGACTGGCACTCACCTGCAGCTGGTAATTTTGTCATTGTGACAGCGATGCAGTTGTATGGCCACCACCTGGCTGTCCGTCACAATGATTAATTTGCCATCATCGTAGCTGCCATCTTTCGGTTGATCTGCGAATTTTAATGAGAATTGAGTACCAGGGCAAGGGATATGTGTATATTAATTAACTCCAACTCACCGTACTGCATGGTCCTAACGATCTCCAGGTTTCGAATGGGTTCACTCTTGGTCAGCACATCAATCTCTTCGATGACAACGGATGCGACTTTGTCTGCGGAATCGGCAGATTCGGCATTCACTGATTTGATGATCTTGCCGTGATCTGTTTGGATTATATTATGATTAATTTAATTTCCTAAAAATATATTAAATTGAAAACGTACCTGTTCCTACAAATATAACATCATAGGTCTTTCCACCAGGGTCTTGATTTGTGCATCTACAGCGATTTGTGTGAAGCGGTAACTGAAATAGAAAAAGTTTAAATTGATTATTTAGAATTTGTGCTTAAATATTTATAATATATTTGTATATCTCAAGTTTATTCTTCTACAGACTTTTCCTATCGACTCCTTAATTACTTTTGCTATACTTGCAGTCCATTTTGTTTAGAACTAATTCCTCTTCCATCAACAACTCTGGCGGTTTTGATATAAATGAACGACAGCAGAATGTCAATGCATGTACCCTGCTTTCTTTATTTTCCGACAATGGTTTTTCGCCTGTTTCCCAGACAGACCGACAGACAGGCTTCAGTCATTTCGGTTAGACGTCCATTAATAATGGACAGAAGGGTCCGCAGCGGCATTGTGGCCGTGGACGACTGGTTAGCAAAGCGACAGAGCAACCGCCAGTGCAACATGAGTGGCAACATTCGGTGCTGCAACTACTAGCTTTTATTTCTTTTTTTTTTTTTACTTTTTGTATGTTTTATATATGCAAAAAGCATATTCTGAACAACAACAAAGAAGTTGTAGATGAAATAAAAACGAGAATTTCCCTCTGATTTCACCGCAAAAGCGCCGTCCGCCTCTCCAATGTTTGTGGCCGGTCGTCGTGTCCAGTGTTTCTGCTGCTCCTGCTCCTGCTCCTGCTGCTCCTGCTCCTGTCATGCCTTCCTGCCTCGATTTAAATGCAAATGTCTGGCAGCCAGAATGGAAGTTACAATGGGGCCACTCCATGTCCCATTGCTCTGCTATTCTTTTTCATTTTTATTGTTAATTAACTAATCTTGTTGCCTGGGGAGGAGGGGGCTTTGCAGCAGCAACAATTTTAAAATTGCTCTACATATTTTGGAATAATTCATTAAATAAAGTTTACATTTCCTGTGGACAAGTTGGTTGAATGGAATTTGTGTTGGGGTTTTTCAAAATCTAATTTCAGCTTAGTTGAGCCTTTTTCTGGTATTCATAAATATGCCTTTAACTGATTTATTTAAACTAAGAGAAACTTAAAGGGAATTTATTTCGTGTTGAATTTATAGTTGAAGATATATTAAAAAGGCATACTCTTGAGAATTGCTCTTAATTATTTAAACTTAAAGTTGACTGCTTAAAGAACCAAACAAACAATTTCAGCTAAACTTGAAATTGGAAAATATATGTATGTACAGAAAAGGCATGGTGGAAGCATATGCAAAACAAGTAAAGCCAGCAAGCAAGTCAAGAAATATTTAAAAAAAAAAGGTAGCCAGGACCACGTCCTGTGCCGGGTCAAAGTCCAAAGTCCTGGCAATTGAAACTTGCGAAAATGTTGCCAACTTTTTGTATCGCTCCGATGAGCTTCGAAGAGAGTGGATCGTCTGCCGGCGATGACAGCAACAAAAGGCAGCAAAAGGCAGACAAATGGCAGGAGTACGGAGTCCAAAGGATGTAGAGGAAGTCAGTCAGTCAGTCAGTCAGTCCGTCTGGTCCAGTCGTTAGTTATCCACCTCTGGCCACCAAACTGGAGGCGATAAGAGGGCACGTTAAGGACAATGCGATACACCTTGGGACAGGAAGATGCCGATGGGATATGGTCAGCCAGCTGGCAGAAATCGGTTGAATATGGGATGCTTCCGGTCTGCGTCAGGAAGCAATTTGTAACGGAGCCCGAGTCCTATATGCCAACATGCTGGGCACATTCAACTTTTGCCGAGACGCTGTCTCTTCCTGTCTCATCTCTCGACTTTCGACTTGCTGGAAAACTTTCTCCAAGCCAGGCCAAGCTAGTAGTACTATGCAAATCATCATCATCATCATCATCATCATGGGCTTCTTCTTCTTGGCCAGATTTATTTGTGCCACGCCCCCACAGACACACGCAGTCAGAGAGCCACTTGGGACCATTCGCAGGATATAGCCGGACCCCAAAGAAATTATAATAAATTTATGTATGTTTTTCTGCTGCGGCCCAATGCCATAAATTTGCGGGGAGGGGCGGCACATTTTTGATTTGATTTTGTCATTTGCGTTCAATAAATCCCCGCACATTTTCGTTGCCCGATTTATGCGGCATTTCCTTCCATTTCGGGGTTTCGAATCGTGTCGAATATATATGTAACATATATACATATAATTTATGCGTATTGTTTGAATTCAAATCGAAAATATGATAAATGTATTCTCCTGTCAAAACTGTCTTGGCACTAAGAGCTTGACCTGGCTCAAAGAAAAGAAGGCTGTTAAGCCATTAGACTTGAGCCGCGACTTGAGGAGGCTTAGAAATTTACATTTCGGAATGGTGATGATAAGGCAAGTTAAGTATGGTAAAGTAAGGTATTTAGAATTTAAAAAGAATTGTATTATGTATTTATAATAAAATTAACTAAATCAACAATCTATATATAAAATGCTCTGTTGTTTCTTCATAGATCAATTTGACGTTTAGTTTTTACACATGTTGAGTTCAGTGGTTTTATTTTGTTTATTTTCTGGGTTATTATTTTTTTAGCGTTTCAATGCCTACTGCTGGCATCTACAGCAGCTGATCAGCATTCTGTAACATTCAAACATATTGAAGAAACTTGAAAGTTCTCAACCGTTTATGCCCAAATTTTTAGAGAAGATGCGTTGAGGTTCCAGCTCGGTTATTGACTACTTTTGATGTTGATAGCTTATCTGCGGTTGCGAATATATCTATTTTTTAGCGTTTCCCCGTGCCCTACTACTGCGCCCTCTACAAGCAAATCAAAGCATTTCCTGTCAAACATTCAAAACATATTGAAAGAAGAAATTGGAGATACAAATTTTATTTTTTGTTCAGGTTCAGTAAGAAACGAAGTCATGCCACCAAAGAAGTCGAGATTGGGTCGTCGTATTCGCAATACAGAAGCAAAAAGACGTAAGATTACGAATATGACTGACGAAGAACGGGCCTCCATCCGAGAGACGCGGCTGCGCGATGAACTTTTACTCATACAGGTTAATGGTTCGGAGGACCGATTGCAATCATATATTGAAATGTCGTCAGATGTTTCATCAGTACATTGTCGATATGTATGCAAAATTGAAACAACGTTTGCTGTTCCTCCGATTGAATCAGAACAAACTTCGGTCCGAGGAATATATCCATTTGAGGGATGCTGTGATGAATGACCGTAATACAACCAACGTTGGAAAGCTCACGATTTTGCCATCCTCATACATAGGTAGTCCGAGCCACATGCATGAATATGCTCAAGATGCCCAGGCATATGTTCGTTGCTACGGCCGTCCAGACTTATTTATCACCTTCACATGCAATCCAGCTTGGGACGAGATAGTTCAGCTGTTATTTCCTGGACAATCGTATAGGGATAGGCATGACATCACAGCCCGTGTTTTCAGACAAAAGCTCAAGTCACTGATGGATTTCATTGTGAAACATGGAGTTTTTGGATCTGTGCGGTGCTGGATGTATTCAGTAGAATGGCAGAAGAGAGGATTGCCGCATGCGCACATACTGATTTGGCTGTATGATAAAATTACTCCAGACGAAATTGACAATGTGATATGCGCTGAGATTCCACGGGCAGAGGTTGATACAGATTTGCATGCAGTTGTCATCAAGAACATGTCAATGGCCCATGTGGTACCCTCAACCGAAGTTCACCATGCATGGTAGACGGGAAGTGTTCCAAGCGATATCCTCGAGCATTTACAGCCAACACCGTAACAGGGGACGATGGATATCCTCTGTATAGGAGACGGTCAACTGAAGATGGAGGGACTTCGGCAACTTTAAACATGAGAATTGGTGATATTGAGGTAGACAATCGTTGGGTGGTTCCATACTCAACACTATTGTCAAAATCATACAAAGCGCACATCAACGTAGAATATTGCAATTCCGTGAAATCGATTAAATATATCTGCAAGTACGTGAATAAAGGCAGCGATATGGCAGTTTTGGTGTTCAGGCAGAAATGGGGACAGCAATGCAGTACGAGTTGTCGATGAAATATCTCAATACCAGGCTGGAAGATACAAAGCAGCAACGAGGTTGCATGGAGAATTTGTTCGTTCCCAATTCATGAAAGCTATCCAGCTTAGTTCACTTGGCAGTCCATTTGAGAATGGTCAACGTATCTATTCACAGAAAGAATGTGCAAGAAAGTCTGAATCGCAGCGACAACTCTGACTGCCTTTCACTTATGCAGGAAGATATTTGCGAACATGATGTATCAGAAGTGCCCTTAACAATATCCACAGAGAACGTGCAGGTACAGCTATTTACTATAATAATACATCCATTTATACTGACAACATTTAGAAGTAATAAGGCATAAAGTAAAAGCCAGCTTTAATAATCATGAACATAAATATCCATAAACAAATACAGCTTTCCAAAGTCATAACAGTGAACAGTTTCTACAGACAATAACAATTTAATTCTTTGGATTAAAGTGGATAATATTAGTGACTGTTCATGCATTTCACATTCATTTGTATTGGCCCGCATCATTAGAGATGATTAAATATTGACTCCACTTGATTACGGCGACCCCTGTACATTTATTTGACCCAGTTTGTGAAGTGATTTATGGAATGGCGATGACGCTAAGTCGTGATTTCAGCTACTGAATCAGAATTTAATTTTTTCTTTTTTTTGGCTGAGCAACTGAGATGAGAATAGTTGTGGAGCAAAATACACAACCATTTTTGGGGGGAGTAAGTTGTGCGCATTTTTATGCTTTCAATTGAGTGTCCCGGTCTCTTGATTAAATTCCAATGCACGCTCTCGTTCCCGTTCCCGTTTCTCGGGCGGAGCGAGCATCCGCATCCGTCCCAAAATGCAATGAGTCAGTTGCAGAAAGTGGCCGCTCCACCCACACCCACACCCACATCCACACCCACCACAACGAGGACGCACACTAGCCCTTGCATTTGTTGTGGTGTACTCATGTGGCACACACAAAATTGTTCAGGGGTTGCAGAGGCTGCAGAGGCTGCAGATGCAGGATGCGGATGCAGGATGCAGGATGCGGATGCGTAGGGAGCCTGAAGGAGGATCGGCAGGTCGGCAGTCTGCGTTGTTGCTAGTACGTGTTCCATATTTCATTCTAATTTATTCAGTTGTGCATACATATTTTCGTTACGGGTTGCCTCCTCGGCGCATCCATGCATTTCCTTCTGGCTGGCTCGCTTCGTTTGCTCCAAACTATCGCAAAAGGCAGCTGCCCTGCCACCATTACCATCTCCACATTCACCTCGAACAGAACAGGATACAGTGGTGCCAGTGGAGAGGCAGGTACTCGGCGGTTATCCTTGCTCTCTTCGCATTCAATACGGTAGATGGTATTTTTGGGGGAGACACCAAAAAAAGAAACATTGTGGCTTTTCTAGGCCCAATGATAAACGTGCTAGCATTTATGTGGATCAAAATTAATGTCAAAATGGGGCCACACACATATTGCTAAAGGAAAATAATGGCTTAAAACCGTAGAGGTTTTGAATTATTTCATTGTATAGTTTTCCAGAGATGTGAATTGTTTATCAGGCTTAAAAGAGGCATAAAGATCTGAGCTTGAAATCCATTAAAGGCACTCAAGAAACTGACTTATTAAATGGAAACAAATGTTTTAACTTAAACACAGTTTTGTATTGATTCAGAACAAGTTATTTTAGTAGTAAAAACATAAAAGAAGTCTAGGGAATGTATGTGTATATGTACACAAATATTTCTCTATATTTTATTAGAAAGTTTGGAACCACTGTGCAGAACCTGCACCACTTGTTCCGCGTCGAGAGCAATGCTCAGTGGCTCGCTTATGATTTAGCCCTCTTTAAAGTTTCACCGCTATGCCAGCATACATTTCAGCGCTGTTCTTCGCCCCGTAATTGTGGCTCAATTACATGGAAAAGTTGCCAAATTGAATTTTAAATTTTCCCTCAGGCCATGCAGGGTGGGTGTGCTGCACGAAATCGCTGGCAAATAATTTATGATAACAGTTTCTGCATTTTCCCCACCTGCATCCTGCAACCCACTTGCCGCCATTCAGATTGCTTTGGTTTATGGTTATTTGCGCTGACTAACACCTTTAGAGGAAATTTCCATAAACTGAAAACAGATGCTGCAACATTTGAGCCAATGAACCCATATGATGGTCAATTCTTGACAGGATTAACTTTGCTATTTTGAAAAATAGTCAAGAGAGAGCAGATGTTTGCCAATGGAGGAAAACTATCAAGATAATTGAATTTACTGTTGCTACAATGAAATATTATATTAAATAAGCGGAAAATGAAGCAAATAATATGAAATTCTTTACAAAAATTTATGAATGCTTTTTAAGCTTACAAAATTAAGAGTCACGTTTTGATGTCCAAAAAAATACAACTTTCTGAATAATAAAACCCCAAAAAACCAGTCACTGTTGGCCACTTGGCTCCTGCAGATTTATATCTCTCTCTCTCTTTACACCGGAAACGGAAGTGACTAAGGCAACGAAAATGTAGGAATGCAGTTACTCACATGGTGCTCGTCCGGACCAAAATCGGTTGACTGAAAAATGCCCGCACATTCTCGTCCATTAGCGAATGGTTTTGATGAAATTTAATGTGGGATCCGGAAGCGTTCTTGAATCGTTGTGACAGGAACCAGGACGCGGATCGGGACCTATAAAAGAAAATATATATTAATAGATAAAAAGTCTAAGAATAGTTACTATTAAAATCTTTCAGCAAGCAGTTTGAATAAAAATATTATATGCATTTCTGGCATTTTGGAAAATATCCCCCAACTTGGGCAAAACCACAAATCGATGGCGACATGTGCAGTCATCTGTGGGAAATTGGCAAAAGCATTCGAGATGCAAATGCAAATTTTGTGCCAAACGGAGAATACATTTTCTTCTCAACATTTTTATGGCACGGCGGCCGTAAGTCATAAATTTTCTGGCAACATCTGCGCTAAAGTGCGGTCTCGAAGTAAGTTTAGGGTTTGGGATTAATACTTATGCGGGAAAGGACTCACCTTGGCATTGTTTACCGGCAGCCAGTTGGAGTTGATGCCGCTCTGTTCCTTAAACTGGCCCTCAAACGTATCGGCAATGTCCTGTGGAAGGAAGAAAATCATCGTATTTAATTCTAAATTTGTAGAAAATGTAATTCAAAGACTTACCTGCAAGGCAAATGCACAAACTGCCGAGCCAGGAATGGAATTGGTAGGTGTATTGAAGACTCCATAGATCAACTTAGAGCTCATTGCACCATACTGTCCCTCCACCAGATTGCTAGCAGATTCTAAGAGTAAAAACAATGATTAAATTCAATTTAATGTAATTATAAACTAATAAGATTATGCTCAAAAAACCTTAATTAAACCCAAGAACTTACGGATTTCGTTAAAGTAGAAAGGATAATCGCCCGGAATGGAGCAGTTGAGTCGGGACTTAAGGAAGGATGTCCAGCGGTTGCGGAAACGATGCGGGCCACCTTTGTCCCACTTGCAGACGCGGGCAACGCGCGAATAAATCGCCTGAAAGGATAACGTAAGATAAGATATTAATTCAGCTCCGCTTGAAGCCAGGACAAATCTGCAGGATAGTCCGTTGACAAATGCGAGACATCAGCAGTTATTTTACTTGTATTTCTGCTTATTTGGCATTGATTTCGGGACCCTTGAAATTGATTGGAAAACTCCATTCCTTACCTTGCCACAATTGATAAACTCCACAGCGGTTTCGCGAAAGAAGAAATATACAAAATCTCCTTGGGTAAATGAGCTCACAAAGTTGGGCGCTGCAAAAATGAAAAACAAAATGAAAATGAGACGAAAAAATGATAAAAACAGTTTAGTCATCAAAATTTATTTATAGTTTTCGAGATTGTAAACATTTTTATGGCTTTTCCTTTTCGTGTATCGTCAATTTTCATGAAATTGTGATGCACGCTTTTGGGTTTCATACTGGCTTTTTATGTGACATCAGTCGGTAATATAGAGTTTATGGATGGACATGTGAATGGGTTCATTGATATGCATTAACTAAGGATTGGGCTGAACTAGGATATGTGTGTGATTAAGTCACTTTTACACAGAAATACTTTAAAGCCTAAAGTTTGTATTTACACTATAAATATTTACAATAGATTTACATGTACTTTTAAGGCAACTTTGCTCAGTTTAAAGATATTGTTTTCATTTCAAAGCATCTTAAGAGAACCCCATGAGTCAGGCAGACTCCCCTCTTTGGCCCTCTTCAATATTATTTATGAAGTCGTCTGAACGCACACATCTTCTTCGTGGTTGCAAATGACAGTAGCACGTGCCATGTCTATTCAGGATTCAGATTCAGTTAATGGAAGCTTGTACATGGCCAACGCCAGCTGGCCCCGGGACCCTTGAAATATGCAAAAGGCAATTGCACGCAATCGCTAACTGACATTCGACAGGACATCGGGCAGCTGCAACCGGAAGGGGAGGAAGAGCCCCACCCCTCCCTCCTGCCGCATTGCGCTAATAAAGCGGAAGCGCCATCCTGACAGGATCCTTGACGTTTTTCAATTACCACAAGTGGCTACAATCGTGCGTCGCGGCTACAACTTACCGTTGAGGCTCAGGCTGTCATACTGTTCCGTCTGCAATGGTTCCCTGTAAATAATCGGATCGCTGCCACTGAAGTCTGCCACGGTGCCGGAATACAGTTCATTGTCTGCAAAAAGGGAGAAAATGAATTCAATTTAATTAAATACAGTAAAAGGTTTATTAAATACAACATACAAAATAACACAAAGACATGTCAAGCTGTGCAGCTTGGCTTTGTTACTATTTTGTGATAAATTCTCTTATCAAATATGCTTTGTCATAGATTAGCAAATAAAATTGAATAACTTTCAAAAAGATGTCAAGAATGAAGAGAAAAACATTTAGCCACTTAAATGTGGCTTCATCTTGGCAAACAATGTCACAGATAAACGTCAATTATGTGCCACATTCTATTACCTGCACAATGTAGCACATTTTCCGATCCAATTTCCCTTACAAAACGCTCACCTCGTACTTATTATGCATTAAAGTGTCCGGCGAAAAGGAAAATACATGGAGGATATTATAAAGTATTTATCAATTGCTCCAAGTAACACACACAAACACTCATACGCCCTGTTGTCTGGATAAATGTTAGCGCCAAATTCCATTAAGCTAAACGACAACAACATCTCACGGAGGGGAAGAGGAAACTTTTGACATGCCTTCTCGGGCAAAAGGCATTGAATGCGCCTGCGGCCACATAGTCGAGAAGATAAATGAGATTTTCTTGTTTTTATTTCGTCGTTCTGATTTCTGTTTGTGCAGCGGATTGCCTGGCGCTCCTCCTGTCACAGGCGCTTCGGCGTTTTTCTTTGTCCTTGTCAAGGCACTGGTGGTGTGCGATGGATGAAATAAAGGCAAAGGCAAAAGAATATGGAAAAAGCCGAACAACAGGACAGCACAACAGAACCGGAAATGCCAAGCAGCGCCCGTTTATTGTCTGGCCGGAAATGGCTTTACTGACGGCATCGAACTGCCAGGCACTTTTACCATATCCACACAAACTCACAGAACGCAATGCAATCACAAAAGGCTCAATGAAAGATTTGATCTCCAGACAAATATATTAAGGAATTGCAGACTTGAGAAAATCAAACAGTTTTTGTATCGATTAAATAATAATATTGATATTGATATAACAAAGAAATAAACTCAAAGAAAACACACTAAAAACTAGCCTAAAAGTTTGAAAATAAGACTGGAAGAAATAAGTTCTTGTTAATAAATAAAAATCATACTTCTTTAAGGAAAGGTTTCTGAAAAGGAACTTTAATCAAAGGAATTCAAAATGTTAACAAATTATACTACAATTTCAATTTCTATTGTTCAAACAATCAATATCCTTAATATCGATTACTAAATACTCAAAAACCCAACATGCAAAGTGTTATTTTAGGTCAGAGCTCTCTCGGTGTGATCATCATGGCTGGTTTTATGCAAAACCGTAGCCGAAAATTGCATGTTTATGGGTTTTTTTTTCTGGGGAGCATCAAGGGGAGGCAATTTCAATAGAATTTCATGCTGATGGCCTTGCCAAGCTGAGCGCATTTTGTGATTCTTGGTCATGTTTTTTGGTTTGGCCTACACCGTCGTCCTGGCCCCTGTTGTAATCTATCAAATTTACAGTGCTGGCACGTGGGCGTGGCATTACGGCAGCTCCACCGAAAAAGCCGGGAAATGGAAAATGCGAATTACGTGACGAGAACGTGTGCCAGGGAAATGAGTAGAACCAAGAGGGGGTAGCTACTAGCGAATGTTACATTAATTCAACAAAAAGCCACATTAAAAGCGTCGTCTGCAACAAATTAATTTCCCCCCTAGGAAAAAACCATCCCCCTGGCTGGCTCCACCATTCAAAAGCCAGGCGAGTGCTTAAATTAAGAGGCTGTAAAAGTCACACGGTGAGTGAAAAGTGAAAGCGTCTCTCGCATTTCGGGAGGGGAAGTACCGAAAAACCCCCCAGAATTAGGGTAAAGAAGAGGGGGGTTGACGAAGGACAGGTGAGGCTAACGGCCAATAAAAACAATTTCCCAAGAGGAGTTAATGGGGAGCCAGAGAGGCTGAGAGGCTGGGAGCTTTAAATCAAAAATCTTGAAAATTGAAAATCCCTTGCTAAAGTAATATTTAAATTTGAATAAAAGAACAGAGGGGAGCCCATGTTTGTGGTTTGAATTAAGAAAAACCTACAATTTAAATTTTAACGAATTAAAAAAGCTACTTGTTTAAGTAATAACTTTCTCTTGTAATAAAATCTTCTACAAACCCTTTCAAAAAATATATTTAAACTCAGTTCCCAAAATTTAAAGTTCCCTTTGCATTTGTTGCTCAAATGCAAAGTAATTAACAATGAGAATGCAATTAGCATGGCAACCGAATGCTGCCATTGTTTTAGTTTTTTATTTAGCAAAATCTTTTGCTTCTATTTTTTGTGTGTGTGTGTGTTTTGTTTGACTGTGATGACGGTGCTTTCTTTGGCTTTCACTAACAAGGTGCACAATGGATGATGGGACAGGACCTTTATGCCCCTCCAGCAATCCGACGACCCATCGACCCAGCGTGGATGGACTTGTCGCAACATCGACAGGACACGAAAAGTTGCGCTGGCACTTTTGGCCTTCGTCCTCCTCGTCCTTGTCGTCGTTGCATCTAATGGTTTTTGTTTGTGTGAGTGTGTGTGTGTGAGTATATCCTGCCATCCTTTTCTGTCCGCCATCATTGTTTCGTGCTGGGACGTTTGCTTTTATTGTTTGCTCATTATAACGCCAGTTACCTGACGACGCCAGGACAGGAGAGCCAGGACTTAGACTTCCAAATCCAACCGGGTCGTGGAGCTCTGGGTACTTTACCGCATTGCAGCAATTGCAGGCCGGTCTTAACTCATTTTAAATGACAATCTAGCGTGCAAAAATTATGCACATCGGTTGTGTCTTCTTTTTGTTTAGCCTTTTCCCTCACGGAGCTCTCAAAATGGAGGTTCTTGAATGAATTTTCAAGCGATTTCTCTGTTTCTTTGACTCTGGCCTAAAGTTCGATAAACTCTTTAAGTGATTTAATCGATTTTCCTGCGCCGCCTGCCAGGGTTGAAAGGATGAAGAGAGGCGTATACATATATAGTCGATGGAAACGGAAAATGGTCTTTAGAGTGACGAGAACAAGGCGTAATGAAAGTTCATCGCGTTGACTGCGGCAATTTGCATATTTTTGCATGTTTTATTATGCGGCTGGCACACACACACACACCACTCTGGCACATGCTAATACATAAATTACACTCATTTTCAATGACAGAGAACGGACAGAGGAGGGGACAGAGGGCTAAAATAACGAGGGCACCACCGGGACTGGGCTGAGCTTTATTACCGAAACGTTGTGTTTTAAATATTTCATATCTAACACATACACGAAACTCAGCGAGTGTGTGTAATTTCCTTCCTTTTTTTTCAGGGTCTAGGAGTAAACATTGTTTTTTTGGGGGTTCCCCTACTTAATGCCTTGAATAACGTTCTCATATATAAACGGATATTCATACGAACATTCATGCCTGCGTGAGTCCGAGTGTAAGGCCCTTGATTAAATAGCCCGCTTAGGAGTAATTACGCTCCGTGTACGTTTTCATTATGCACTTCAATGTATTTTAGCATAGTTATTTCGAGTGCAATCGTCAGTTGAGTTTGCAATCCGGTTAATTGCTTAATTTGATGGAAATGACCAGGCAAGTGATGGAAATGTTCGTGCAGTCTTATCTTTTTTTGGATATAATTATATGTAGTTATGAAAAATAAGTAAGGGAGTCATTTCTCATAGAGAAATGGATTTCTCACATTTTTAAGGCTTATAATCTTTATAGATTGTTAACAAGGATGTCTTTTTTCTCATAAACTCTTTGCTGATGGGCTCCGTGGTGAAAGTGAATCCACCTAGACAAGGAACCTGTTGCTTACTCCTAAAAATGATTTAAAAATCAGATTATCTTTTAAACATTTAGCATTTTGGGGATGAAGCAATGTTAAAATTTAAATACTTAACAATTATTATCAACTAAGCAGGAACCCTATTAAATCTTTTCATTTACAAGGATTTCAAGTAACATTTTGATTTAAAATTCCATTACCAATCTCTCTTATAATGTTCTACTTCCTTTTTATTCAGGATTTGCTTTTAGAGAGCGTATGTTACCTATCAATTAAGATAATTACCACTTCAGGGCCGGCTGACCCAGTTTCAAAAGGCATGAAAGCCCCATCTTAAGCCTGACCTCGACTTGCAGGCTACAATATCGCTTCAGTTAAGGCTTTAATTACACTCGCTGGCTAAGAGCCCAGTGAACAGACAATTTTCCTTTTCCCCATTTTTCTGTGTTATCAATTTTTGGCTCTAATTACATTTCACTTGTACTCCTTCGATGGAAATGCAGAGACGTTGGATGCCCAAATTGGAGGAGTGGGTGCCATTTTTGGGGGACGTGGGGAGAGAATTGAAGAAAAGTTTTTGGAAACATGTGCGCTTGCAGCAGATTCACATTTCGTTTGCTCCACTTTTATTATTCCTTGTTTAGCCAACTAGAGTTTCCCATTTCTGTTGGCTTTCTTGGGAGGGGAGGCCGGGAGGGGATTTTGGAAAATTTGGCAATTAGCTTAATTCTCTTTTTATTGGCGCACCACAATTATCAGCTCCGACTGCCCTGCTCTCGGCCTGCCACTTTAACCAGATTTGCATCTCCAGATGCATCTGCCACTGGGAATCGCTTAGAAACGATCGAATTAAAAGCTAATGTTGCTTCCTGTCTTTCTCCCCTATAAAATGGATATTCAAGTAATGGCCTGGGGCCAATGTTTTCCAGCTAAGCTTGCCAATGGTCTTTCTTGGCTTGCAGGATTTCTTGGGAGCGTTTTTAATGTATGTATCTGCGGTTAAATGGCTCACACAGATTTGGCAGCGAAAATTGGCATTGGCAACGAAAAGAACAAAAGTTGCACTCGCGAGCAGGAAAAATGTGTTCAATTATGTTTCTTTTAGTATTTTTATACCCTTGCAGTCAGTCAGAAGCCCCAAACACAGTGAAAGAATCATTTCCGACCCTATAAATCATAATATATTCTTGATCAGCTTTTAACTTTTCCTGCT